CGATTAAACGACATACAAGACAAGTCAACACTTATTAATAACCACAGAAACTAAAAAATATATAAATAAAATTAAATAAACTGAGTTCACCTTGAACCCTACTGGTTTCGTGGCTGCTGTTGGGCGGAGCTTGGGAAAGGCGCTGAAGCCGGAGCGGCTCTGTTCCTTTGCTGATCACACTGGAAACGCCAGTGGCCTCGCTGCCCGCATCCCAAGCAGATGTCTTCTGGCTGGGGCACTCTCCTTCCCCCAAACCCAAACGTACCGCGTCCTGCATTAAAGCGGCGAAAATTACTCGCAAAACCACCGCTACCTCCAGCCAACTCACCCCTCTCTGGGGGAGGATGCACCTGGGTCGCTGACCTTTTCCTAGCCAGAGCCTGGGCCTTAAATCTCTTTCGCCTACCTGCCCTGAGCTGGGCATTTCTAATCCGCTTCTCGTCGTCGCTATCACTCGCCAATTCATCAGATAAGTACTCGTCCACGACGCTCCAACCACCTTCAGACTTATCCGCAATCCTGATCAATTTGTTGCGCCGATGCAGCAATTTCTTAATCTCATTCAAATCAGCGCCTACCTTATCGACAACGTCAGCCTTCCCTAAAGAATCGCTTGCTTTCTCAACCCAATCCAGGAGCTCAGAATTAAACTCGAACTGAGCCTGATTGCCTATAAATCGAAACTTGACCTTGGCCGCCATTTTAATTTTCTGTGTCTCCGTCTTGTGTATCTTAATGGCATCATCAATATACTCTTTTACACCACCAATTGCGTTCTTGACTATCCCTGCGATATCCTCGGTAGTCAGGCCTATATTTTCTTCCATAATCAAAATATCAGGAGCAAAAAATCAGCCAAAAAACCGCGGAAATAGTGAATAAAAGGACAGCTGAAATACAAGCGACGTGTCACAGCGAATGGAATCGGTCAAGTGACCCAACACACCAAAGGCGCCCTCAGACCAATGGAAAATACATTTGGTTTTCTTATTCAGAACTAGTGTACTGGTTCATGATTGGATGTTATATATGCAAATCAATTGTTGTTAATAGCTATTAACTTTAAAAGTCCATGGCAAATATATAAGTGAGTTTATTACTTAATGAAATTAACCAACGGCTTGTGAAGGAAAGGATTAAATCCAGTTTATTATATGATATCGTACATTTGTTTCTTTACTTTCGTTACAAGAGTGTGGTTTTGAACTCGGCACATCAGTGTGGGTGTGACACCCTCCTGACCTGTTAACCATTGACCCTTCTATTTTTAATACCCTTATCTGATATGATTGTTAGACTAATTATAATACAGTAGGCCTACAGTACAATGGTTTATAGTGGGTGGTTTTTCATTACTAGCCAGCTACAATACAGTACAGTACTTGTTAAGTACTAATTATAGATCCACAATAGGCAAACCTGTATCACTTCATTAATTGTTCTTGAATGTTTTTTTTTTTTTAATAATACTGAAATTCTTTTTAATCCAATTAACACCTCTCTTTAATTGCTGAATTTCTTTACAATTCTTTATTTTGAACTTCTCACAATATGGATTTTGATCATTACAACTTTGAGATTAGGCCAAGTAAAAAAAAAAAAAAAGTACTGTAGTTTCTCGGGCTAATATTTTGAAAAAAGGAAAATGGGGGTGCCTTTTTGTATTAATGTATCCCCACCACAAATGATCTAGAGAGGAATTTTTTTCTGATGTGAGTTAGCCAGATTTTCATACATTCGTAAAATTAATGAAAAAAAAAAAATTTGGTGGGGCAGAGAAAATTTTTTCGCGAGGGGACACGAAACGATTAATTTTTTTTTTCTTTTTTATTGGCCTTACAGTATGTTTTGTTGTTCAAACCTAAGTTTGAGTCGGTACTTACATGGCCTTATTTTACTTATGATTGGGGGCTGTATGTACAGTAGGTAATGATATGGATAATTTACTTTTTTTAATGTCAACAACATGGGAACGAAAAGAGTGCTCTCACGGTACTTTGGCTGCATACACCGGTCTCAAGGCAAAATGACAACTCGCATTATTGTTGATTTTGAGGTAATAAGGGAGATTTTGCTACCTTACCAGAAGGATAACGAATACGTCATCATCATAATCGTCATTTGTGCCTAAAACATTCGTGACAATATACTTTATGAGCTGGATATGATCCTTACAGCCTGTTTACACTATGACGGTCAACTATAAAAGATAAAAGCAATCGTTCATAGAAAATTAAAACATTTTCACAATAGCACGTCATAATCATGGGAAAAACGATAAAATCGTAGTAGAAAAGCAATAAAATTGTTTGCCAATGATTATGACGTCATTTGATTTAATTTGTGAAACTATTTTTTTACTGTATACACAATAAATCATTATCGAATCGTGCTAGTGTGAAAACTTCTCTTATAGTATTATTTTATTTTCTATACGAATTGCTTTTCATGTGTTTTTCATTGATCATTATCGTCATAGTGCAAACAGGCCTCAGTTCATGCAAAATGCATGAAAGATATGAGGAGAATTATTAAAACGCTTAACCTTTACATTAAACTAATTTTATGATTTTCAGTGTAGTAGTATTTTCAAATTAGAGGCTTGCGTTAAAAATAGGCTCCCAGTTGGAGCGTGTGTCTACTGCCTTATACAGGAGTTTTTGTTTTTTTAATTTTATCTTAATGTTCTTCAATATGCAGATGTGTGTATTATTGTAGTGTATCTGGATTTTTCATGAAAATGTTCTTTCATAAACAATATTCTGTATAGGCCTACTTCTATATTACACTAAAAACACTGTAAAAATGAGTAACTCTTGGAGTTACCACGCCATGTCGTTGATCACAAAGAGTACTACCATGTTCTAGTAATTCTACAAAATTAGTATGTTATACATAACACTCATGGACTGTACGAGCAAATAACTAGAAAGTCTTCACTTAAAATGTATACCCAAATTAAAACAAAACTTGTTGTGTTATGTAATGAACAAACTTGATTTCTAAGGAGTTTGCCTGAAATTCAAAGCCAGATCAGATACCCTTCCTTTAAACTCTTGAACCTGCTATTGGTCTACTGATCTTGACACCATATGCACATTATGCAAAAAGGGAGAAGAGGATATCTGTCATTTCTTGTCTATATGTACAGTAGGGCTTTGAATGAAGTAAAGATGTAGAGAATTCTTCCTGTTAGAACACGAGTTGTACAATGAAGAAATATATGGCACATGTTTATGTTTATGTTTGAAATCAAACTGTTATGGCATTGGGTAACACTGATTTGTATCTGATTTGTGGAAATTGATAAATAAAATTCTGGATAAGTACTGCAAAGCCTATCTTTTAAAAGAGCATAGCAATTGCGCAACCTTATTTTAAGTACTGTACAGTCTGTGAGTCGGAATGTACATCATTGAATGATTTTAATCTTAATCTTATTTTAAGTACTTTTAAACCATTTTAGCCACCCTATCAATTAATGCACAGTTTCTGGTAAATTTTAAAGTCAACATTATTAAAACTCTTTTGCACATTTTATCTCTTCCTGTTTTACTTGTACTGTAGTTTAAATAATTTTGAATGTTTTTTTTTTTTTTTTTACCTAGGTTAAGATTGATTGATTTTAAATTTCACAGTTTATTTAATTGTATATTTTACTGAATTATCATTTAAGCTTTATTGTTATCTTATTTCTGTGTACATGTGTCATTTTTTGTCTGTGGTTTTATAGTTTTATTGTGAACGCACCTGCATGACATGTGCCACTGATTCAAATGTGTAGTTTTCAAATAAAGTTATAATGTACAGTACTGTATGAATGTTGTGATATCTATTGTCATAAAAACTACTGTACAGTATGTACTGGTAGATGCTATTGACACTATATAACATTGAGAATTTAGCATTCTGTTAAGATTTCCTATTTGCATACTTGCCTAGCTCTGTATGGTTCTACGCACTCTGGTTGCTGCGTATTGTTAAGATATTAGTGCACATTCTATGACCATATTGTCAGTTCCTGTTTGGGAGGTGTTGTATACACATCTATTAAATGCAGTTTAAAACTTACTCAAAAGGTAGTCAGACTACTGGTAGGGATAAATCTCTAAATTATTACAACCGATCAATTATTAAGGTAAGTAATTCATTCAACAATGTTTCAAGCGTTGTGACCCTAAGACGACCTGAATTACGGCCCTGTAAAAATATTACAAGGAATTACAAATAATTCTTATTTTAATATCAAACTGATGGAAGATATCCAATTAAATTTAATCCAGTTTTATGACAAAACACTGTTATGAAAACAGTGAAGACGAAAGGGAAAATGTTTAGTATGTTTTCAACCTCTGTCAGGGGGTCTGAAACTCTAAAAAGTTACTTCTAGGAGATCAGGTTAAAATATTTGTGAACAGTTGGATTTTAGAGTGTGCCTATATTGATAACAGCCAACTTTAAAGACAATAGGCCTACAGTATAGCAGGGTTTAAGCTGGCCAAAAAAAATATTTAATTTAGCTAAAATAAAATGAATAGCCAAATAGAAATTTAATTAGCAAAAAACAAAAAAAAAGGATAAAGCTACACTACAGTAGGTTTTATTCCATTCTTTTTGGCTAATTTTAAATTCAGCAAAATTCAGCTTTTATTAGAATTTGGCTAATTCCGTAATGACAACTTAAACACCGCTATAGTAACATGTACATTCTGAATTTGTTCTGGTCCTGGGTGACAAGTTAGCTTCTGGGAGAGTTTAGCTTGATAAAAATAGTGGGGGTGGGTGGTGGTGCTGATTTCCCCTGTATGCAGAGATGTTGAGGGGATTACAGTACTTTAAATGCCTTATATTTCCATCAACTATGAAGTTTGCTCAAGAAGAGTGACAAATAACTAGGGACCAGAGAATGGCAAAGATACATGAACAGGAGGCGTCAAAATGCTAGACTAGTAAAGTCCCACCAAGGACCCTAGCTAGCATTTTTATGTAAATTACATAGCAATTTCATACTTGCCATAAGCTGATATTTCACCTCGTATGAAGATGTACAGTAGGCAGAGACTTAGGCATTTTTAATTCAAAGTCTTTGAAATAGGGTTTTACTGTAAGCTTATTCCATGTGGAGTGTTTTGCATAACAATTACAAGGTTTAAGACTATGTGGACATAGATAATTGACTTAAGAGGGAAAAAAATCCCCAAAAACAAATAAAAATTAGGCAGGTTTTTTTTATTCTAAAAGTAACAGCGAAAATAATTTTTCTTCAGACTACCTAGCAGTATCGGCAAATTGGTGGGAGTAACCAGCGGTGAACTAGCATCCCACCCAAATGGGGAGCATCACCGTCTCAACTGCTTCACGCTACTTGAAACCAGGGATAGAGTAAGCTCCAGCCTTGTGGGCCCTAGTGGCTAGGCAAGGATTTACAGTACTTTACTTTTACAGGCTTTAACAAGTACCAAATCACACTCAATATAAAAAACAGTCGGCACAGGATGTCGCTATAAATATTAAACTTATAAATAAATGAATGACATAAACAAATACAAAAGAGAGTACTGACTGGTATATTTATGAAGGTATCAGAAACAAAGTTTTGGTAAAAGAGTTGAAGTACAGTATATCAATTTCAAGACTGATGGCACAGTAAACAAAATTGATTAAACAGTGTTGATGGTAATTGATGTAGACTTGTAAAGTGCATTCTACTGTTAGGTCTCAATGCACTTTCAACAAATGTCCAAAAGAAATTAAATAACAGAAACAAATAAGATGAAGAAGAGGCAAGAGAAAAGGAATAACAAATAATCCAAAAAAGAAAATTTACATTTAGTCATCCATCCAGTACCGCTCATACAGTATGCAATTGCTCTTAAGAATTTCTAATACCTGATAGTCAATAATACAGTATTATTTATTTTTTGTACAATTTTATTTTATCTTATTTTCCAAACCATAACGAATGTATATTAAGCTATCCAATTAAATATTGCGTGTGTGATTTTCATGTGATTTTGTTTAAGTGTTTGATTTGTCCACTCAAAATAAAAATAAAGTGTTGAGTAATAGATTAAAAGTGAAGTGTATTTACTGTAATTCATATTCAATATGTACAGTAGTCATTTCTTCCTGGTTGTAGTACAAGGAAGTTGTCATCAAAATCATGTTAAACAAGCAAATCAATATGGTGTTAATACTGGTTAAACATTCTGACCTCCGACACAGAGAAAGTGTAAAAAATCTCTAAACAACAAATCATTCAGACAGTAGATGTCTTTGGTACTTCCATAAAGGGACCCACCCTCCCCCGCCAAAGCCATCCTTTAAAAAAAAGTAATGCCATGTGATAGGAGGCACCCTATTAGAAAAGAGTTCGCTCGAAACGCATGATAGTACTTTCTGAAATACTGTAAGATTACGTTCCAACAAAACCACAAGAGTCGGACCTCTTGCAGTTCCATGTTCATTGATTCTACTGTTGGTGCTAGTGGGTATGGTTTGAAGAAAAATAACACAGTGTGAACTGAGGTGAAGAGGAATGTCATCTATCACACATACAGTATCACACCAATTCTTAAAAACAACAATAATTTGCCATCCATGACCTGGGGTGGTGCTTGGGCAGTGGAAGATGTGAAAGACACTTCTACAGTATTTAGCCATAAGAGTATAGGTTGCTAAACACCTAGTCAACCACACTGCATATACTGTATCATGTTTAATCCTTGATAGCTGGAAATTCTGTTATTTCATAGCAAAGTCTACATGTTGTTTGTTTTGTGGTTTTGGTTTAGGGAGAAAATATCTATAACTCTCCATACTAATATCAGTGGGATTTTCACTTGTTTGTTCTGTGGTATATACAAAATTGAAAATATATATATTTTAAAAAATATGCTTTGATCATTGATTGTCAAGTATAACAAAGTGTCGCTGTTAAATACAGCATTGCAATTACAGTAGAACCTCGTTTTTACGTACCCCAGTTATACGAACCCTCGGTTTTACGTACGCCTCGTATCGACGATGATATCAAAAGCCCTGAAAATATTCAAAACCAAACAATTTTCTACATGAAGCTAAGTAGGCATAGTTTCGTACAGGAACGCTAATTGGTTGGCTCGCCCAGTGCAGTGCACATGGTTGCTGTTTCACGTACACGAACGCTAATTGGTTGGCTCGCCCAGTGCAGCGCACATGGGTTTAGTTTGTCTCAACAGGCCCAGACAATACCACAGCTCTGTTGTTTAAAATAGGCATAAAGGGGAATTCCCAAGTTATACCTTTGTCGTATAGGTAATCTTACAATATTTTCATGTTCTTTAGTTAAATAAAAGATGTAAAGTGATGAATTAATACACTAGACACATGGTTTTATTTGAACACTTTATTATGACATTGTAAAGTAATGAATAAAAACACTAAACACATGGTTTTATTCGTAGGCCTAGAGGCTAGGTCTAGCCTAGCTAGGTAACATTTACGTACGCCCTCCGGTCCCATACCGTATGTAAAATCAAGGTTCTACTCTATTACAAAAACAAATTTTGTTGTTAAATATTTGTCTTCTTTAAACATTTTTCTTGGAATATTTTTATTTGCTATGAATTAATTACTATGTATTTTCATGATGCAAATGACAATAAGGTATAAATAAATTCTTGCCGTATTGTCATTTGCATCATGACAATATTGCCATATTGTCATGATGCAAATGACAATATGACAATATGATCGTCAGAAAAGGACAGAAAAAGAATTTTTTTTTATTAGCAAATGGTTTTGCCAAGAACATCCAGAGGAGAAAATAAAAATGAAATTTTATTGTTAAATTTAAAAGGTGTAGTAATGGGATGGTTAAATGCTTTAAATTATTAAGAAAGAAATAAACATGTTATTTTTTTAGATTTCAAGGCAGCTGCGGGCATAATAAAAAATAACTTATTTATTTAAAAAAAATTTTTTTTGGGGCGATGGCCAAAAATATAATTTTATTTTTATTTGACTTCGTCAAAATTGGCAGGTGGCGGGCTCGCGAAACAAAGTATAAAAGAAGTCTTGCCTAAATGGAAATTAATCTGTGATTCATTTTTTTCTTTTTCATTTTCATTTACAGTACACAAGAAAATAATTCAGAAGGAAAAAAAAGAAATCAAGCTATTTTCACTAGCTTGATTTTCTACTAAAGTTTTCCTGGTCTGCTTATTTCACTGTAATCTTCTTTGGTTAACCGTTGGCCCTCATAATCCTGGCTTGTACTTTAAATACCAATTGTAATTGAATGCATTCATCAAGGCCATTGCAACCATCCTTGCTTGAAAACAAACTTATATATATATATATAAACTTATATATATATATATATATATATGTATATATATGTATATATATGTATAT